AGTAGTAGTAGTAGTAGTAGTAGTAGTAGTAGTAGTAGTAGTAGTAGCAGTAGTAGCAGCAGTAGTAGGTAGTAGGTAGTAGGTAGTAGGTGGTACGTAGTAGGTAGTAGGTCGCTGGATCAGAATATACAACCATTGGACTGAGACATGTCGATCGCTGGATCAGAATAGACAACCTCTGATTCGGATTCGTTCCATTTCATTGTAGAACGACTTCGCTTGAAATCAACAGCAACAAACTCTCCCAGCAAAATGTGCAACTCCAATGCACCCACAAGTCTGATTGAGCAGGGTATTGTTGTTCGATGTCATTCTGGGTCTTTCATTTCAAACGGTTTGGAGAAAAAAACGACAAATCCTGCCAGATCTAGAAATTCTTCGGTCGCTTTGAAGCCTTCTGTGTGTGAAAAAGAATATCTGGTGCGTGTCGCAATCCCTCGAGACGGTCGAAAAAAAGATCTGAAAAGGAAAACATGCACACGGCCAAGTCGTTTGGAAGAAGAATCGTTTTCAAGGTCATGTTTTGTGGATAGTCTTGGTTCGCATTGCTTGTGTTGGCTTCACTTGGTTCCTCTTAGGTGGTTCGACTGAGACATGCCGGTTCGGATCGCTGGATCAGAATAGACAACCTCTGATTCGGATTCGTTCCATTTCATGGTCAAACAACCTTGAAATAAACATCAACAAACTCACCCAGCCAAATGTGCACCTCCAATGCACCAACGAGTATGATTGAGCAGGGTATTGTATCATTAAGCTGCCTGCCAATGCGGGCTCCAGCTGGTGGCCGGCGGCATGCCGAAGGCTGTAAATAAGGCACTCAACCATCTTGGAACAGCAGTCTTTGGTTTCACAGCTCAAACACTCTTTTGTTTCACACCAGATTTCCTCACTTTGGGGTGGTTTCAGTGATCAATGGGGCGGTTTATTCCAGTCCCATGGACGGTGCGTTTGGCGCCCGTGGCATCGCCCGTGGCATGTCCTGCATCAGCTTCCAGGAGCTCTGCCTCGTCTCGAGGCCGGCATGGGTTCCCGTGGACGACTAAAAAGAGCCCGCCACGACCAATATGACTCACCGGTGTTTCCAAGCCTTTGTGGCTCTCAGTCAGTCAGTCAGTCACCTAATAAGAAGTTGAAACATGTTGAAAGAAGCAGGATCTTCCGGGTGCCATGACTCTCCTGGGTGCCATGACTCCCCTGGGTGCCATGACTCCCCTGCTCGATGAACCAAGTCTCCGCGCCGGAGTCTTCCCCTCCAGCGACTTCATTAAATGCCTGAAGTGGTCGACAAGGGCGAGGAGCAAAGCTTGACGAGATGTTCGACCAGTCTAAACTAGGACTTACCAGTATGTTGAGCTGAATGAAGCTACATATGTCCGACATGGCTTTCCTTTCATGTATTGAATTGTGATCCAAATCACACATGATCACACCCAATAACAAGCTCAACTTCCTCAACATCAAACCTAGACCCATCATCTCGGGTGAGGGCTGGGACTCCAAGGTATCGAGAGATGTGTTCAGCCGCCGGGACTCCAGTATTGAGTCGTCCGACGGGGGAGGAGGCACTGAGGTCATGCTCCAGGTTCCAGGATCGAAACAAACAACAAAGGCCTCCAGAGACCAGGCACTGAGGCCTTTTCTCAGCTGTGCAAGACTTCACCTGTAGTATATCCAGTCGCTGCGAAGTGAAGTGATGGAACTCCCAACAAATTCAGGTGGGCTTTACCGAAACAGCATCATTTGTTGGAGAAGTCCAGCTGGCAAAGCAAACCAGTGAGCCAGGGTCCCAGGGTTCATGAGTTTCAGGACATGCTGATCTTCCTTTTGTATCCATACACCTCAGTACCACTCAGCTACAGGTTCTACCATTGGACCCTCCATTTGCAACAGGCCGGTGTGGCTCCACAGCTGCCTTTGCAGCGGCCTGAGGTGATGGGTTTGGCAGGGTTTGGGCAAGGCAGGCCAGGCTGGTTTTGGCACACAGTCAAAAACCTGCAATTGCCCTTGCAACATGACAGGGTGTTCAAGCGTTTCTCGAGGTGGGTAGTGTTTCAGTTATGCAGTTGATCCTGAAAGAAGGCTTTGATGGTAAAACAGTTCACCGTTGAAGTGCATTTGGAATCAGATTCTCGTTGAGCTTCGGCGAGGTTGTTTCGAGTTCGTTCGGCCCGGATGAAGCAGCTTCTTTAAGTGGCAGTGGAATGATGTCAGGTTCTGGGGCCCTGGAAAACTGAGAAAGGCATGAGGATGTGCATTACAAACATCAACTAAACCCACATGTCATTCTTTGATTTGCTAAAGGAACCGGACAAAACCAAGACCAACACTGGTAATCACCGGAACTCTCTACGACTCTACTGACCTCCTACACTTGTGCCGGTCGGACGATTGGAACCGTTCTTTCGGGGTCGAGCCGCCAAGCCGCGAAAAGGTGAAGCTGGTGATCGAGCCAATCCCCTGGACTCGCTCGGGCCCTCGGTCGATGGAAACCCGCCCCCAGTCAGAACGGCACGCGGGAAAGCGCCAGTGCGCACGCCACGCGGAGTTCGCCGAAGAATGGGGCGCCTGGGCCTCCACCGAACTGCCTGCAGGTGGAAGGTGGAGACTCTGCACATGAGCCGTCAAAAATGATTTACATGGCCTCTCCTCACCATTCTCACCTAAGCAATTTAGTCAGTCCCCCTATCGTTTTACAGGGGTTGCCTTCTTAACAAGTTTGAGCTTGCCTCACATGGACATTCCTTCATGCCTGATCCAATCAAAGGATGTGGAAAGGTCTGAGAAACACCTCCGGAAAAAGCCAGAAATCATATAGAAATCATGAAGCATGGCCAATTCACTTCAACTCCATCGTATATATTTGAGTGCATTCGCACGACGAATTCGCCGCAACTATCAGGTGCAGTTGTCTTTTTGCGCAAAAAAACGATTCCACAGATGAAGCACACACATGAAGGCTAAATGCAGGGTGTACTACCCTTCCGTTTGCCTCTGAACATAAGCAACCCCCTTGCTGAACGAACACCCGGCCACCACATCCTCGTCCGGATCTCCGTGGTCCTCGCCTGCCGCAGTTACAGCGTTCCGGGCGAGCTGATTCAAGGCCTGAAGAGATGCTTCCGAAGAAACCCGCGGCGCTTCACATCAAGCCGTGTTCGAACCGTTGAAAGTACACCCGGAGTGGGAACCCTCACTACTCCCTGATCCCCCGAAGGGGGGTCAATTAACAGTAACTTACAATTTTGGGGTGTCAAAATGCAGGTTTTGGAACACGGTGATTTTTGAACATACAGGTCTAAAATACCTCCATCTGACAAGACAGGGGTCAAAATTGTAAGATTTGTAAGTTACATGTTCGACCCTCATGTGTTGAGCCTGTACGCGCTCAAAAAATTGTAAGTTACATTTTTGCGGGTCAGGTGGATGCATGCCCCCCTGACAGTGCTCTGTGGGGTACCTGCCCATCCATTGTTACAATTTTGAGCCCTCCCGCCCCCTGCTTTCAAAGTCTCAGGACGTAGGCCTTTGAGTGGGGGGTTAAAAAAGTAAGATCCTCCTATAGGCTACCTCACCCTTAGATCTAACAATTTTAACCCCCCCTTTTTGGGGCTCATTAGGGCTATATAATTGCTATCATCTCAAAATCAAACATTGTAAGTTACAAATTTGACCCCACCGGGGGGGTCAGGCACCGCCAGGGGGTAGTGATGTTCCGAGACAAACCGGGCGACCCGCATGGACCAGACTGGAAGACAGTGATGTTCCGAAGACCAACCCGAGACGTGGGAAACCCAGGAGACCCTGGCGTGCGGGGCGATTCCAGCAATCGTAGGGGTGCCCGCCACGGGTCTCGAAGGCGCATGGGCCCGGACTGTGCATGACTGATAGTTGTGTATCTCCAAGATGATGCAAAGAAACCACCATGGTTTTGTTCCTATAAACATCGTATGTTATACAACAGAAAAAAAGCAAAGAACGTATAGGATGACCCCATCGTGTGTCGGACTTGTTGGGGGGTATAGGTGTTCTCCATCTAAGAACCATGCCCTTCGCTGCTTCCGCCGCTCTCCGCGGCTCGGAGGCCCGGCTCCGTGCCGTGCGGCGCGACCCCCGAAGCTCGGCTCGTCCGGCGGCGGGGGCGGCTCCTGCGGACGGGTCACGGACCCGCGCTGAACGGACTGACCGGAGCGTCTGAGACCGCATGGGTCGTAGGTCGTAGAGTCGTAGGTCGTAGTACACTTGATGAAGATCGAAATATGAAGAACATCAAAGTGATGAATGGTCTTTGAACTTTGGGAAGACGAGCTCTTAATCGGGGCTTTGGGTTTGAGTTGGAGCTGTAGGACATGTCAAAAGAACACAGGGGAGCTCCAGATGGGTTTTCTGAACTATATATACAGTAGAAAAGACCTCTTCAGTCCCTGTGGTTTGGCCTCTGACATCTTCTAACCCTCAGGGAGCTCCATCCCTTGACCCTCTGTGCTGAATGCCCATGCGGTTCTTCAGACCCACTCCTAGAGGCTACAAAGAGAACATCAAGAGCGGACCGCAACACTAACCCCAGCCACGTTCAGTTTTACATCACCTCGCACATGAGACTTACATCTGAAAGAAGTACCTCAAAGTTCCTGATTCACAGAACTCTTCACTCTTCCCTGAGTACGGCAGATCCACTTTGTGGCTCTTTTTGGATACTGACTGGAAGTGTTTTCAGAGTGGGGCGTTACACTGACACCGCTCGGGTCAATGCAGCGAGGGAGGGTGTCTTCGCTTGTCGACAGCGTCATTGTATCTCATTATCACTGTAATCATCCTATTTATTCTCAGCTGGTGAAGAAAATTTGTCGCTGAACTAACTGCCTGCACCTCAATGAGAAGGCATCTTTGCTCCCACAGTTATTGGTTAAATGCCTGCCTTGAACCCTATGAGGCCACAGTGATTTCAAGGTTCGTCATTTCAACACCCGACCAAACCTTACGGGAAAAAATGATAACGTAGACTATTGATGAATAAAACCCCCCATTTGGGTTGCAACACCTCACCATCATAGGGTGGTTTGGTTCATTGAGTCTACATGTTCAAGCATCTACCAGCACCTCGGACCCTCCATTTGGGTCACTGTGAATGATACCGTCCGGAGCATCTGACGTGGATACCGGACCCTTGGAGGCGGCCCGGGGTGCTATCCATGAGTAAACACAACCTGTTTAAAGACTGCTGAGAAGAATATATAGATACCAGTAAGTCCTAGCAACTGGTACAAAAAGACTCACTATGCTTTCTCAAACGGTTTGCAACCTAACCAGCATGATCTACTGTTACTGGGAAGGAGTCCTTCACCCGGACCGGAAGCCATATCCCAAGCCCATATCCAAAACCGGACTAAGTCATTCCAAGCAGAGTCTCCCCGAACTCCATGGAACTGCTGGTAGTTCAAAGAAAAACCGTTGGGATCCACGGATGACCACGGATGATCCGAACGCTTCGTCTGCCCGTCTCGAGAGATGTCTCTCGATGTCTCCCCCCCACCTGGGCCCTCAGCGACGGCCCGGGCTCCCCCTCCGGCGGGGGAGGTGGGGAGGCCTTGGAGATGCGAATTGCAGGCAAATCACTGGAGGTGCTGTCCAGGAGAACCAACATAAATCCCAGGTTCGAGGATCAGAATTCACCCAGTCTGGGAAAGTGATGGGACAATAAGAATCATTTTTAAGAACCTGATCCACAAAAGCAAGCAAATGGCGTGCCAAATATTTGTCGAAACACTTTTCAAGGTCTTTTCCTGACCTCACCAGGCCATCCACAGGCTGGGTCGAACGGTATAGGTCCCTATATAGTCGGCCGTGGATCCAAACCAGGGGACCCAGGTTGACCACCTCAGGGAGGTCCAGATACAAGATGCTACAAGGGTCTTTGGACGTTCAAAGCCTTGGATCCAGCCCCAGGTCAGCCGTCTTCGGTGTCCCGTCCACCTCCAACGGACTATTCCTTCGGCCCGGCCACCACCTGGGTCTCCCAGGAATCAAAGGCCGGCGGCTTGGGAACCTCCTGCGCAGCGGCGTTGCGACACCAGGAGGTTTGGATAGCGGACCTCACAGCTGTCCCGAGGGACAGGACATGGCACGGGTGGTGAGAGCACACACCCCAGTCCTCACCTCTTTTGGTGTAGGAGATGTGTAGGCTACAAAATAGACAGTCCGTCTTTAAGAAACACGGGGGTCACTGTTTTTTCATGACATATCTACAGGAAAGGAAGTATTGATGGACATGGTGTGAGGGTGTTCTCCTAGTGAGGCGGTGCAGGAAGTGAGGCGGTGCAGGATTTCAAATGAACGGATATGATGAATATTGAATAATGTTGGAAGCTGATTAGTAATAGGGCCCTCTAAAATGCGAAATGTTTGAAAAGTAATTGTTCACACCAGGTGTGTTTTAAGGGTTCTCTATTATGCTAAATCTTTTGGGGAACCTAATTTTTAATATATTAAAAGTGGGAGTTTCAAATCCTGCGTAGATCTGTGAATACTACTAAATTACTAAGCCAATAGCTGGCTTGCTGACAGTATTATTGGTAATCATAGGTTTCTTTGGTTCTTCAAGACTCACAGCTTCCCAAAGCCATCAATTCCTTAATCAATCCTTTATATAAAGATTGCCCCTAAACAAATTTTCAAGGTAGTAGACCAGGAAAGCCCCTGATCCTCAATATTAAATTTGCTTTAAGGGTTCTCAATTGTGCGAAGATTTCATCAGAAAAAATCTCAAAACGTAATACTACTAAGCCAATGGCTGGCTTGCTGAGAGTATTATTATCATAGGCTTCTTTTAGTTCTTTAAAACTCACAGCTTCGCAAAGCCATCAATTCCTTAATCAATCCTTTATGTAAAGGTTGCTCCTAAACAAATTCCCCAAATAGTGCTCCGCACTAAGGGGTTCTTACGGTAAGAGTTAAGCGGGTTTAGATCAGGGTTCGCGCGTGTGGATGCGGCATTTTGCGTGGGCCGGCTCGCACAAAAGTTACTTTTTGAATTCCTCATGTCCATTTCGACTGCGCAGGCTCGCATAAAGTGGTGGCCGCGCCTTTCGTGCTTTCGGGACAAAGCTCTCGTGCAGGTGCCGTGCTCGTTTTCGGACATGAAGTGCATTTTGCGTGGCAGGCGCAAGGAATTCGACACATTGGAGCCTCGAAAAGGTCATTTTACGTGGCAGGTGCAAGGAATCGGAGACTTTGCAAATTTCGTGGCAGGCGCAGTGTTTTGTGGACGTTGCAAAAACGTTGGCAGGCGTGTGTCATTCGCAGGATCGCGTTTCACGTGGCAGGCGCAGGGAATCCGCACCATGGATGCGACATTTTGAGGTGAAACGGCTGAATTCGTGAGAGGGGTCGCATTTTTGGAATTTGAACTTGAAGATGCTTTTGCGTGGCCAGTGCAGCATTTCGTATGACCTGCAGGCATGATGTCGTGGCAGGCGCAGCATTTCTGAAACGCATTTGAAAATTTGCGAAAGCCTCGTGCAATTTGCTCATTTTGGATCTCCGATGTGCAGATGTCGTGGCAGGCGCAGCACTTTGTGAATCTGGATGTGCAGATTTCGTGGCAGGCGCAGCACTTTGTGAATCTCGATGT